CTCTACTGGACCAAACTGAACTCCATATCGGAGCCCCATTTGGGGGTCTTCCCAGAGGATATCATCTAAGGCACACTCCCTTACTTACCCTCTTCACAAGAGACCTAGAATGCTAGAGAACTATAGATACCATAGGCCCTTCCCTCCCTGTCTAGCCCAACCTGGATGACTGGGAATTAGAGAATTTCATTCTCTGCATGACATCACTCATTCACACCCAGAGATCTAGCCCTAAATAGAACCCATAAATATCAGAGATAAAAGTAAGGCATATTAGAGATTACCTAGTCCAACTTCCTCATTTTACACAGGTGAGTAAACTGAGGACCCGGGAGGGAAGTGACTCATCCAAGGTCACACAACTACTAGATGATGGTGCTGGGATGAGAAACCAATTCCTGGGCCCTAGCAGTCTTTTTGCCACATCAAGACTTCTTCTTAATGGAATATTTTATTTTGGGGTGGAGGTTTTCAGCTTTTTATTATTATTATTTTAAAGAATCTAGCCAAAGGTGGGTTTAAGTTCCCACCCCTCAGAATCTGCTAAAACCCCTAGGTACCAAGTTCACCAAAAGGAAGTAGACATACAGGTTACCCCTCATTGGCCAGAATACCTCAGGGAAGGAGAGAGCATTCTTCACAATTCTTTCCATCTGCAGATCTCCTCCCCCCTACCCCAGTCTCCATTTCACACCCCATTTCCTTAAACAAGGAAATGCCAATTTAACCAAATGATTAACTCAAAAGAGGGAAGAGGGGGAAGGGAATGCCTCACACTTCCAGTCTACACTGCCTCCTTTCCCTTTGGCCTCTCTGGCCCCCAGAGGTTTATGGCAAAGAGCGGCAGAACTATGAGAATTGTCATTACAAAAGGTCTGAATTCAGCCTCTGCTTTGAACTTACCTAAGAGCTCAAAGAAAGAACTGAAAAGAGGGCCACAGCCTGCAGAGGATGATCCCACAGGGAGTTTCTCATCTGGGTTTCACTGAAGTAGGAGTTAAGAGGTTGCTTCCATGCCTGTCTCAATAGCATTATGGAGTTCAAGGACCTTAAAGGTCCACGCCCACCACCTCTCTCCCCCATGACATCCCATCTCCTATCTCCAGGCCCAGAATGCTGTCCCTGCTTACTTCCAACTCTATCTCCAAGGCTCAACTGTTACCTCCCTACAAGAGACTCTCCCTCCAATTATCGTTTTCCCTGGCTGACCCCCTCCCGCCAGAATACTAGCTTTTTTTGTCTTTGTAACCCAATGGCCAAACAGGGCCTGGCCCCCTGTTGTTGTTCAGTTGTGTCTGACTCCTCATGACCCCATTTAGGGTTTTCTTGGCAGAGATCCTAGAGTCGTTTGCCCCTTCCTTCTCCAGCTCGTTTTGCAAATGAGGAAACTGAGGCAAACAGGGTTAAGTGACTTGCCCAGGGTCACACAGCTAGTAGGCGTCTGAGACTGAGTATTCCTGACTCCAGGGCCGGGACTCTACCCACTGTGCCACCTAGCTACCTACCTGGCCTCCTAGGAGAGGCTTAATAAATGCTTGCTGAATTGAATGAGGAAACTGAGGCCTACTGAAGGGAAGTGATTTATTCAAGGTCACAAAGTCTGCGGCAGAGCCAGGATGAGCAACATGGATCGCCAAACTACATCCAAAGCTCTTTTGGTCACACCAAAATGCCACGATAGCTTTAAGGCAGAGGTTGCCAAACTTTGTACAGTAAAAATGTAAAAATCATTCTTAGTTTGAGGTGAGCTAGCCCTTCGACTATAGTTTGCCAAAGAGTCAGGCAACACTTGCTTGGTGTGTGAGGTAAAAGAGATAGCTGTCTACCCTTTCCTAGTGATACAAAAGACCCTGTTTCAAAGCTTCTCCCCCTCTACCACCTATGACAAAGATGGCCCCTAAAGAACTTTCTAGATTTAAAATTCTATGAAACTTCACACAGATATCCCACACTATGAAGTCATGCCAAGTTTTTTTAAAAAATGAATTTTACCCAATGAAGTAATTCCCAATTCAGTCAGGCAGGGATTCTTTCAAATGTCAAGCTTCCTCTACCTTCCCCCCCCTCCCCCGCATACATAACCCTATATATGGTACCCTAGAAAGACACCACTGAATACAGTAAGGCCCATCCTGTAAAATCTCTGGCTTGATTTGATCCTGAAAATGACCAAAACCTAGTCAAATGTGTTTCCTCATCTCTAATTTGAGTGACACTCCTTGGGGGCCAGAGGAGACCTCAGACAAATCTCCAGCCGTATAACCAGCTCACGTTTCTGGAGTCACCCAAAAGTTAAAAGTGGCTTACCTGGAAACACGGCAGAAGAAGCTTACAATCTTTTATAAATCCTTCCCACAGAAGGGCATAGGATTCCTACACACACACTTTACACCATCCATCAGAGGATATTAGAATCTCCTATCTGGGAAGAATACACCTAGTCCAGCAGACGAGGAGACGGAGCCCGCTGAGGGGAAATGGAAAGCCCAAAAGGGACTAAGTGGTGGCAGAGCTGAGACTGACCTGGGACTGTTTTACCCATCCAGAAGACTGTTCCCCTCCAATTTCCTGCCCACAAATCATGCTCCCTGGTAACAAGTTATCCCAGCCCCACTCTCCATCAGCCTGCCCAAGAAACCTCCCCTTCACAGTTGCTCATATGTGAACTGCATCCATTCTTATTTAAGTCTCAAAGTTAATTTTGCCTCCTCCAAGAAGCCTTCTCTGACCACTCCTGCCTCAAATTCTACCTCTTTCCTTTGAAATTCTATAGAATTTACAATCAGAACCACTTACTTGATACTTGGCACATGTTATCTTTTCAACTATCTATTTCTCCCAACTAGACTTTAAAAACTCTAAGCAGCCCCATGACTTTGGGGCAGGTAGGTGGTGCAGTGGATAGAGCACTGGCCCTGAAGTCAGGAGGACCTGAGTTCAAACCCAGCCTCAGACCAAACACTTGACTCTTACTAGCTGTGTGACCCTGGGCAAGTCACTTAACCCCAATTGCCTAAAAATTAAAAAAAACAAACAAAAAAAACCTCTAAGGGGCCTAATCTTAATTATCAGGGGTAAAGACAAGTTGAATGACTAGACCACAAGTGGAGTAAAAGAAGGGACAGTGGCTCAGGATAACCATATAGGTTCATAGAATCAGAAAAGACCTTGGAGCCCATCTACTCCAACACCTTTATAGATGACAAAACTGAGGCCAGGGAGGTTTGCCTAAGGTCACACAGACAATAAGTGACAGAAACAGGATTTGAACTCAGGTCCCTGACTCTAGAGCTAGGCCACTTCCATGTGGGGATCTCTGTCAAGACTGTGTCAGCTGGGAAAAAAAAAAACAAAACAAAACGAAACAGGGAAATCAGAGGGAGAAAAAAAATATCTGATGTGATATGGGTACTTCACAGTCTAATGTTGCAGTTCCCAACCTGAGGGCCAGGGAGTTTCTGCAAGGAAACGCCAACCATCTCATTAGGCATCAACATAGTAAATAATAAACAAAGGTACCTTTTGTAGGGCAAATGTCTCTCACATGCATTACTATTTTTCAAACATATGTAGATACTGTGATTAAAAAAAAAAGATACAAACTTAAAAGTATTGCTGAATTCACAGTAACTTTGTTATCATGTATTTTCTCAATCAGGGATAATAGTACAACTACAATCACGTAGGCGTTCACAATATTTGATGTTAAAAGGAGTCCTCATACTTAAAAGCCTAGGAACCACTTGTTTAATAGAGAGATGACAGGCCTCTAAAGTGGGAGACTTGGGTTCCTGGCTTTGCCACTTAATCACTGAGTTCATTTTGCCAAGTTACCTTTTTTCAGAGTCTCAATTTTCTCACCTATAAAATGGGGATACCTATTCTACCCAGATTGTTGTGTGTATCAATTAGGAATTAAGTATTTTTAACCACAAATGAGACTTGTTAAACGGTCCACGGATTCAGGGCCCCTACGCCCCAAGGGAAGTAGCCGACGACCCAGGTAGGGGGCAATTAATACTCAAGAGTCATTGGTTTCAGGGTCTGTTTCCTTCCTCATCTCTCTGCTCCCACAATTACCCAGAGATGCCAGAAGAAAAGTTAAGAGGGCTGCAAAGGAAGGAGATGAGGACCAAGATGCTTGCCCTGGAGATTAGATAACCACACATCCCTAGCTGAAAAGATCTGTTTCGGGATGAGGAGAGGAGATCCAGGAGCAGAGTAATCGGACTGCTTTACAAAGAAGCAGGTCTGAAGTGTGTGTGTGTTGGGGGAAGGGAGCGGTACTGCTCTGTTTGTTTTCTCTGCCTGTGTCTGTGTGTTCCCTCTGTTCCCAGGCTGCCCCAGTCATCATCTTCTCTACCACCAAACCAGCCGCAAAAATCCCAACTACCTTTGCCCTGTCCAGCAACTCCCAGCATCAGTAAGAAAAGCAAAACAAACCTATATTTCCAGCCCTAAAATGCTGGGCTCCTATTCCGGGGACTCTTCCACTGGAGTGCAGGGAGGGAGGAAAAGAGAGTGAAGGCTGAGAAATGGGGAAAGAAAGCACAGAGTCCTTCCCCTGTCTCCTACACAGAGGGAAATTGTCGGTGAGGGAATATGGGGGGGGGGGTCGGGGAGTGGAGTGAGGGGAGGGGAGTGGGGTCAGCTGAGATTTTGCATTCAGATCCCCAGCCCGAGAGTGAAGCAGCTTCCAAGGGCCCCAGCTCCCACACCCACCCAGCACACCCACTTCCGAGGGGCAGGCAGGGTGTCTTTCTGCCCCAGCCTTTCTGGGGCTCTCGCTTCTCAGACTGGGACGCGGTTGGGGCGAAGACTAACTCCAGTGTCCCTAACGCCCCAGCTGAAACCCATCTGCCTGCCCCTCCTAGCCCAACGTGGCCGCTCCTCTCCTCCTTCTCCTCTTCCTCCCCCCCTCCCCAAACCCACCCCACGCCCCTCATCTCAGGCAGCTTTTGCACCAGCCCGGCCGCCGCCCCCCAAGTCCATCCCCTCACCTTGTTAAACGCGAAGAGATCCTGTTTGATCTTCTCCCTCTGGGGGTCGTTGCCCTGCCGCCTGAACCGAAACTTCATCATCTTGGGCTGCGGAGCGGGACGTGGGTCTCAGGAGGAATGGTTCGGAAACAATGTAGCACCGGCCTCTTCCCCCCGAACCCCCCCATGCAAGAAGCCCCCAGCGCGTCCTCCTCGCGGGAGCCTGGGCATCCAGCCGCGCTACCCCGCTGCAAAACCCCGGGGAAGCCGGAGGCGGAGGGGAGGGGGGGGGCGCAGGAGCAGGAGGAGCAGAAGTGGAAGGGGGGGGTGGTTAGGAAGAGAAGGCGGGGAGAAAGAGAGAAGGTGGGAGTGACGGACGCGCCGCCTCGCCAATCAGCTCTACTCCCTGCAACGCCCTCCGCTCCCCGCTCCCCTCACCCCTCAACTCCCGCATCCCCAAGCCAGACAATGAGAGAGGCAAAGGCCCGGGGTTTGCCTGGCCCCGCTTTCCTACCCGGGTGAGCGAGCATGTGCCAAGGCCGCGTGCCTCGCTGGGAAATGTAGTTTTCCCGGGACCAAGCCTGCGCCTGCAGATCGCGTGTGCGTGCGGAGTGGGGGATAGTCTTTCTGATTTTTTTTTTTTCTCCACCAGTGCAGGGCCTGGGTGTTGTTCGTGTGTGATTGGGGTTTGGGGTTTGGGGTTTTTTTTTCCCTTCCCTTTCTTGGTGTGTTGTTTTTTCCCCCTTCCTTTCCCTGTGATGCAACCCGAGGCCTCTGGGGCTTGCACGCAATGTCCAAGCTTTGGCGGCCGGCGCTCCCTGGGCCAGGGAGTGAAATGTTTGACTTGAACTTTGCCGAGCTTTGAGGACTGTAGGGAGAATTGTGCCATGGGACCTGCATGAAGCAAGGTGCTGGGCAGCGAGCCGTAGCTTGTGCATTGTGGTAAGCTCGCTTTGATAGCCCATGAGCCCGCAGTGGGGCGGGGATGTTGCAAGCACGAGACGTGGAATTGGGAGATCGGGTTTCGAATCCAGCACTTGCTGTCTTTGTGGACTCTAGGGAGTCACTTCTTTTTGTAAAATGAGGATAACAACTGCCCTTCCCCCCGTTCCAGGGCTATTGTGAAGATTGGCTCAGATAAAGAATTTGGAGGCTATGTACAAAAGTGTTAGCGATTCTGCATCGGAATCTCAAGAACAATTCAAAACTTGTTTTGAGGAGAAATTATAACAATATCCGACATATCTCTAGAGCTCAAGAACTTTTAAAGCACTTTTCATATCTACTTGCTCATTTAATCTTTTTTGTTTCTGGTCTTTTTTGCTAGGCAGTGGGGTTAAGTGACTTGCCCAGTTATTATTAAGTGTCAAGTGTCTGAGGGCGGATTTGAACTCAGGTCTTTCCTGACTCCAGGGCTGGAGCTATATCCACTGCGCCACTTAACCACCCTGCCCACTTACTCTTAACAAAGGCAGTTAAAGTCCCAGTTGGTCCAGAGAAATTTATGCCCTTTTCACTGATAAGGACATTCAGATATATTAAGTGACAGTCAGTCAGAAGCAAAAGCAGAGCTAGGATCCAGGTATGGTACAGTGGAAAGTGCTGGATTCCAATCCCTGTTCTGCTGTTTACTTACCTGTACAACCTTGGGCAAGTTATCTGACCTCTATGGGCTTCAGTTTTCCCATCTGTTATGTTAGATACCTCAAAGGTCCCTTTAAGCTGTTACTCAATACATGATCCTATAATGTGGTATTGGATGTGAACATCATACCACCTCTTAGTGTGAAAGATCCTGGGAGTTCACGGACTGTCCTGGCTAGCACAGCATTGTTCTGAACGCTGACGTTCCCAAGCCAGTGAACATGCCAGGATACCACATTCCGTCAGTGTTAAAGCAGTGTAGAATATCTGAGCTGGAAGGGATCTTATCAATTACCTAGTCCAATTATTTTATAGATGAGGAAACTGAGGCCCAAGAGATGAGACAACTAGCCCACCAAGGTCACATAATGAGCATGAGCCACAGAGACTGTCTCCAGACTTCCAGTACTGGACTTTTCCCCCAGTGTAGCATTTCCTCCCTTCCTGGCCCTAAGGACAGTTGGAAATGTGTTCTACCAGGGTCTGAGGAGGTCCCTGTACTAAAGTTGTGTGTATGTGTATGTGTGTGTGTCTGTGTGTTTAATTTTTAGTTTTTCTAAAAGGAGGGATTGTTGAACAGTAATCAGTGCTGTTACCCACTGATTAGACATAGAGACAGGTATCCCCCACCATCCCCCACACACACCCTTAGCATAGTGATGACTTTCATATGGTCTTAATGGCACCATTGTAGGGACTGTAAAAAGAGATGTGTTTTTGTTTTGTTTAAATCCTGTCTATAGCTCCAATTGAAGGAGGAATGGGTGAACAAATTATGGCATAGAAATTGTAATAGAATATTGTCAGGCAGTAAGAAATGATAAATATGAGGAATTCAGAGAAACATGGGAAGATTTGTATGAAGTATATAGAAAGCTATGAGAACTAAAGAACAGTATTCACGACTACAAGAACGTAAGTGAAAAGGTCACTAGAAGGAAATAATCAAGAGGAGAAAAAACTGATAATGTTGTGAGAGTATTCCTCCCTCTAGATTCAATGTTTACTGACTGACTCTGTAGTCAGGGGCTACTATAGCACAGTGTTGTTTACATCATCAGATGCCGTCGCTCTAACTAGGTGTTCTTGTTTAATTTTTTCTTTGTTAATTTGGGAGGATTCAATGTTGGCTGATACTTCCAGAAATAATTGTACTATAAAAAACAAAAGTTATTAATAAAACTTACTTTTAAAAAAGGATACCCCATCTAGAGTCTGGACACCTGTTGGACTGGGAAATAAAGAGAAAACCCAATTTGTCAGGATAAGTCAACACTGAACCAAAGCTGCTGGGAGTTGGCTCTGTACCATCTGCCAGCACTGAGAAGGGCACAGAGGCTGTCCATAGTCTTGGGGGCATGGGAAGAAGAGATATTGGGGAGCAGAGGTAGGTTCCAAAGGTAGCCTTATGTATGGAATGTGATTCACTGAGGAAAACTGAAAGAGTTGACCCAGAAGCTAGGTGGCACAGTGGATAGAGCACTGGCCCAGGAGTCAAGAGGACCTGAGTTCAAATCCAGCCTCAGACACATAACGCTTACTAGCTGTGTGACTTTGGACAAGTCACTTAACCCCAATTGCCTCACAGGAAAAAAGGGGGGGGCAGCTAGGTGGCGCAGTGGATAGAGCACCGGCCCTGAAGTCAGGAGGACCTGAGTTCAAATCTGGCCTCAGACCAAATACTTCACACTTACTAGCTGTGTGACCCTGGGCAAGTCACTTAACCCCAACTGCCTTTAAAAAAAAAAAAGAGTTGGCTGGGAGAATGTCCCTGTTGACAAAGGGAATGGCAAGGATGGTACAGCTGAAAAGATACCAACTAACCTGGGCATCAGGAGCCCTGGATTCAGTCCCTACTTCTGTGACTTTGGGCAAGTTCCTTCTTTATGGGCTTGGTCTCCAAGGCCCATCTCAACTTTGGTCTTCTCGACACCACCACCGTCCAGGCAGCCAGGCTTACAATTTCAATGTCATTCTCAACTCTTCACACTCCCCCCACGTGGCCATGTTACCAAGTCTCGTTTCTGCCTTAATAACTTCTCTCATATATCTTCCTCCTCCTCGTCACTCACACAGTCTCTTTGCTGGTACAGGTTCTCATCACTTCATGCCTGAACTGTAGTTTTCTGATCAGTCTCCTCCCCATTGCAGTAAATCCTCCCCTCAGATGCCAACTCGATCTTCCTAGAGCACGTGTCCTTTCCTCCCCACTTCCTAACCACAGGCCCCTCCCTCCAATTCAGTAAACTCCATCTGCTCCCTATTACCTCCAGGATCAAATATGAAATTCCCATGCCTGGAATGCTCTACCTCCTCACCCCCATCTCTTGGCTTCCTATAAGACCCTGTTTAAATTCCACCCCCAGGGCTTTCCATCCGCAATTACCTCTAATCTATCCAGTACACATCTTATTTGTACATAGTCGTTTGCATGTTGTCTCACCCATTAGAATGTGAGCTCCTTGAGGGCAGGGCAGGGTAGGACCATGTTTTACTTTTCTTTATACCCCCATTGCTTAGCACATAGTGCCTGACTCATAAGAGGCACTTAATTAATTCTTCTGGACTGACCAAAAAGAGTTTGTTCTAAATAGATGCTCTCTAGTGTCTTTTATATCTGTGATATTCTATGAGGCACCCGGGGCCAGTGAAGGTTCTCCCTTCTCTTGCTCTCATTTGACTTAGTGATGGGACATGGAAGGGGGAAGGTCAGGGTGGGGGGAGTGACTTATGCCCTCTTCCTAATTCCTTCCCAAACCAGTGTTGCTCCTTCTTCTGGTCCCTGACCAGTCAGGCAACAGCACTGAGCCCTCAGGGAGGCCCACTCCAGCTGGGGAGATGGAGATAAGTCGCAAACATTGGCACAGCAACATACAATGAAGGCAGATGAATCAAGTTTAACCTGTGCGCTGGGCTACAGAGATGCTGAGTAAGGTGGGGTTAATCAGGAAGGCGGCAGGGAGGAGCATTGAGCTGGGAGAATGACAGGCATGCTCTGACAGGAAGGAGGGGAAAATGGTTTGGGGAATGGGCCAAGATCCTCATTGGTACCTTCCCAACTCCAGCCCTATGCCAGCTGGCCCCAATGCTTTGCCATTCAACCCCACAGATATGTATTAATCACCTACTGTGTGCAGAGCGCTGGGCTCAGGGCAGGTGAAGAACATACAAAGTTTAGACAAGACATGATCTCTGCCCTCATGGAGCTTATAACTAAGTACATTTTGGGGAAGATCTCCATCCAGAAGATTACTCTTCCCAGATCTTAAACCTCTGTTCCATTCCCTTAACTCCTTCCTGGTCATGAGGAATGGACACAAGACTGTGTATTGGGTACCTTTAGATCAAGGCTCTATCATAGGTAAGGAGGAATGCAGGGGAAAGAAAAGAGCTAGCCCACACCATCTGGGAGTTTGCAGCTTGGAGATGACTGTTGTCTTTTTTTTTTTTTTTAAGTGTGTGTGTGTGTGTGTGTGTGTGTGTGTGTGTGTGTGTGTGATGTACACCCCCTTGGCAGTGTGATGCAGTTTGGACCCATTCTCAGGATAGGATCTTCAAATGCATAAAACAAAATGAACAACAAAATAAAATGAATCAGTAACAATAATAATA